GTAGAACTGTCTACACCCTTTCCCTTAAGACCAACCACTGGCGGACAGCGGAGCCTATGTTAGAGCCACGTTTTGCCCACCAGAGCGTCTCCTACCTCCACTTCATCTTTGCCCTGGGCGGCCTTGGACCTGACAGGCGATTGACAGGCAGCGTGGAGAGGTGAGATGGTCCGTCCTTAGTCAAGAACCTCTGCATACACAGAATGACACACATGAGCAAACACATCTCTCAATGCTCTCATCAGGTACAACAGTATGTTCAATCTGTGGGAGTCGATGGCACCCATGCCTGAGGCTGTACTGCACCCCGCGGTGGCCGCTACTAACCAGAGGATCTACATGTTTGGAGGAGAGGATGCCATGCACAACCCTGTCAGAATGATACAGGTATTACTACACCTGTTACCTTTGCAGTCATTTGTTTTATCCATTCACATTTATTCATTCACCCTTTTTATTTCTCCTCTCCCCTGTGTAGGTGTATCACATCGCCAGGAACATGTGGTCTAAGATGGAGAACAGAACAGTGAAGAATGTTTCTGCTCCTGCTGTGGTCATGGATGAGAAAATCTACATCATTGGAGGTAAAAGGGCTAAGACAGATAGAATAAACATGAACTGCATATTTGATAACGATAACTGTGTCATTTCACCGGGGGCCTGGACTGAACTTTCATACATGGTCCATTAAGAAAATGGGATTTTTACAGTATTCTTCAACAAAACAAAGGGATTCTTGCAAAATTCTTGATGGATCACTTTACAATTTCATCACCACTACATACCAAACTATTGCATATGAATATATATATCATAATATCTTCTCTGTCACAGGATACACCAGGAGGATGATTGCATACGACACCAAGGCCAACCGATTCATCAAGTGTGCCAACCTAAAGGAGAGGAGGATGCACCATTCAGCCACCGTTCTCAGTAACGAACTGTATGTAACAGGCGGACGTTACATCAATGGCCACGACGTTATTGAAGACTCGGACGCTTTTGAGTGTTACGACCCGAAAACAGACACATGGACAAGTAAAGGGAGTCTGCCTTTCAAACTGTTCGATCACGGCTCCGTGACTCTCACATGTGTCTCACAGACATGGTCGAAATCATAAATTAGGCAGGCAGTAGTGTTTTGTTTTGTTTTGTTTTGACTTCAATATTTTATAGAACAAATGTCATTTTCATTTTTTAATGTTTTCAATTTAAAACTAAAGTATTTAAATGTTAAGCACTATTTATTCCACGACTTTTCTGTGTTGTTGTTTAACGCCTGACTCTGACTCGCATAAAAGAAGACGACTCTTGTTGCATAGCCTGCTCTTAACCTGTCTGGCTTCACAATGGGTGAGAGTGCTATTTTCAGCCTGCTCTAAATCCAGAGATTTCACCTGTCATGTTTAAATCGAGAAGGCTGTGTACCGGTTGGTGCAACTCAAAGCTGTGTGTGCAGCTCGTAGGTTTGAGCCTGTTGACGTGAGCAGCAAAGCCTTGGATCAATTTCTGTCACTTTAATGAAAATGGTGGTGAAATTCATGTGATAAAGAGCAAGAGATTGTTAATGCAGTGCTGAAATCAAAATAAAAGCATACCAGAAGGTCCACTGTTTTGGGACTTTGGGTGCCGAGCATACTTTTGCATCAAATGCTGAAATAATTTGTTCTAAATGTTCAAGTTTAATGTTTTTGTACTGTTGTTTATTGGTTTTAGCCCGTTTTTGTACAGCTTGAAAATAAAATCACAGTCTATATATGTGGTCTTTCTTCATCCCCACAGTACGACTCAGCAGTTCTTGGTCTGTTGACAGTGAATCGCAATCTGAGCCGGTGCCCTGTATGTCTCATCGTATGTCTGTTTAAACCCTCTCACACTGGATCTCAACATGTCCAGGCAGGTTCCTGTTCTCCACACACATGGAGATACAGAATGCAACCATGAAACGTTACCCTTTTATAAAGAACATGCTGAACTTTTACCCAGTGAGAACATCATTGCTGGCCCTGTGACAGTGGGAATTGAGTCCACGAATCCCATCTGACTCACTGATTTGTTATGGTTCACAAATTAGATGTATGCTAAAAATCTGAAGATATGCAGGACAAACAGCTTCCTATAGAATGATTGCATAGTGCAAGTTTAAGCAGCAGTTAAAGAGATTACATCATTTTATTCATCAGTGGCATCTGCAATGTAATGTCAGCCTTTCGTATGGCGTAAACACAATGTGACCAGAGGGGACATTTTTTTGAAACCATAAGTCACTGGGTCAGATGTTTCAGTCGTTTTGCTGCCAGCAAACGGAGCCCAGGAGACAGTGGGTGGAGTGGCCGAGACAAGGTGGTGTGGATGGGTGACTGGAAAAACTATAGGTGATCTGATGTTATTTTGAGCAACAAACAAGAAGGGCAAATGTTACACCACGTGAGGCATGTGGCCCGGCCGGTTTCCGTGCAAGCTGGCAGATGTGAGCGAAGACTCGAGAGAAACTCATGAGCGGGGGTTTCACAACAGAGAACCTGACCGAGTGATGAAACCCATCCAAGAGGAGCAGCAACAGGTGTATGTGTTTGTGTAACTGTGTGCATATATATGTGTGTGTGTGTTTGTGATTAAGGTGTTTGGCGTTTCAAGTGGGGCTGACCGGCTGCCGTGTCTGGTCACAACATCACAACAAAAACAGACAGAGGTGAGAGTGGAAAAGATCATTCACTGACGACCTTTCCTAGGTTCTAAGTTGACAAACATATCAGAGAAAGATATATTTCAACACATTTAAACATTTATCTAGATATAAATATAGAAAATGTATAAAGTTAAAAAATATACATTTATGCATCACATACACACATGCTGGCTCTGTAGGGCTACATTATTGGTCATTCCACGAGTAAACTAAACCCAGACTCTTTAGGTCATAGCTGCCTTCTTGGTCAGTCACTAACTGACTGCACTTGCTGGGACTTTCCAGCCTGCCAGTCAGCCTAGTCTACAAATAGACTTAATCAGACTTCAGGGACTCACAGCATATTACTGCATTACCCTGAAGTTCACACAGTAATACATTTTAGGTTTTTCAGTTCCACTTCTCACACACTCTCTATGGTCACCCATATGGGGAACTACTTCTGCACAAACAGCTCTGCAGCTGCTGAGATTATATGCCCCGTATGGCTCTATTGTATCTAGCAGAGAGTGTTCGCAGGCCTTCTACATTTATCAAGATGTTAGATTAAAGCCACAAACATCTGTTTCAAAAGCTTGAGCCATGAAGTTGTAATACGCAGTCTGAGGTGGATTTTTTTTCTACACGGTAAAAAAAAGGCAAAGAAATAAATAGAGGAAGAAGAAGCGGAAATACATTTGTAGCGCTGGGGGGTAGTTTGTGACCATCAGCAGCACAAAAACCACACGAGTCACATCTGCACGGCTTAATGTGTCAAAGCACAAGTGCTTCTTGGAGGGAAACCATGTGCCAGTGATAACATGTTTTTCCTGATCATATAACGTGTCGTGATATACGACAGCATTGTAAGCGCTCACTCACATGGATTGAGATACACACATGCGTGCACAGCTGCCATTGCAGCAGTTTACTGAGAAGTGTTTGCTATGTTGGAGCAATTTTTAGAAAGTTGACATTTATATCCGCAGCTAAAAGACAGGTTGACCAGACCAGGGTGTGTGTTGCAAGATCTTAAAGGCACTTCTTCATCAATCGCTTTTATCTTTGTTTTTTCAATGAACCGCTTGGTCATTGCACTGAAAGCTCAAGGCTGGCATGAGAAAAGCGATTAAAGCTGTAAACACACAGACATAAACTTTTAATGTGTATTCCGAAAAGCCACACACAGATTAATGTGTAAACATGTCACATGTTTAATGAAGCTGACAAGATCCGACCCAGTGACCTGTAAACGCTATCTTCTGTAACGCGGGCCAAAGTCAACAAAATACCCTCATCCTGTCTTCACGGATCAATCTGGGCCATTTTGGGAAAACTGAAACACACTGGTAAGCCCCCTGAATTACACACACACACATGCAGACACGAACACACTCCTTCACAATCCACAGTGTGGCCAAATACCCTGGAAAAATCTAGAGGACAAATCAGTCTATTTATAATACAGAGTGAGACCGAGAATCAGGGCACTTAGCTGTGATATTGTAGTGTAATTTTCCCCCTTATAGATTTACAGTGTCATGAAGCGAGCGCTGATAAGGCTGAGCAGGCCGCTTCCTGAACAACAACTGTGTTTTATCAACATCAATCCATCAGGCATTAAAAAAAATGTTATTGTTTGAACAGGCAGGTTTGCAGTGTGCCTTCCTCAAAGTCAGAGGTTTGCTGCAGGATGGCTTACACAGCATATTTGGAAATTATGCTTGATTTGTAAACTATTGAATAGTGATTAAGGAAGATGGGATCAAATCAGTATGAATTTAACCCAGCTCTCGTTTGAGCACGCAGACTTGTGAGGTATATCATTTTTCTGTTTACCAAGTGTTATTTTCTTTATATTTAACCCAATCATCAAAAACAGCAGTGGTGATAGTAGGTTTATGAGTGTAACAATGATTATTCCTTGTACCTGAACTCCGACCACAGCCAGGAAAGTAGCAGTGTCTCAATGTAAAAAAGCAGAAGAAAAAAATGAATCAAGCACAAAGAGTACACACAAGTCAATCAAACGACTGCAAAGACACACAAAACACTTCTAAGTACAAGCAGCTACTTTAAAATGAAGTTGAAATTGACTTTCTCAAAGTTACATAATAGTCTGTATACATTAAAAAACGCCTTCCTCCAATGTGTTAAAATATTTGTTGGTGTCCCCTGTCATTATTTTCCATGACATGAGGAGTGTTGATTCCTCCGCTCGCTTCTCCGAGAGGTTGTGCAACGCTGGAGTTGATAAACAAAGCCACGTGTTGCGGGGAAGTTTCCAAAGTGGGCGGAGCTCGCGTGCTTCCGGGTTCTCACTTGGAGGATATAAAGAAGAGCTGCGCAATGTCAACAGTAGGCTAGAAACACAGGGGGCAAAACAAAGCACTTAGAAGCGGGGGTGGTTACATAATAAGCTAAATCAGAGGGCTTTCCAAAGATTTCTCACACATTTATTGACTTTGTTTAAGTTAGCGTCATCGAGTGAGGATGCCTTTTCTCGGACAGGACTGGAGGTCGCCGGGTCAGAGCTGGGTGAAAACCGAAGAGGGATGGAAAAAGACAACAACCGACGACAAAAACAACAATGTCTCCGTGCAGAGGTTGGTCATTAACCGAGAGCTAAGAAATGGCGCTGTCTCTGAGGAGCTTTGGAAATTGAAATGCGCCATCACTTTTGTTTGGTTAGAGAGAGATGGAGGGAGGAGGGACTTTCTTCAAAAGTCCAAACAGCATTATGAACAGAAGCAGGCTGACACACATACAAAACCAAAAACAACTATAGGCCTCCACCTCGGTGTCGTTTCCTTCTCACTCACCTCAGTGTCTTTGTGTGTTTCTGGTTGCTATGTTACTTTCCTAGGCTAATCACCGAGCTATTAATAACCTCCCTAAACAAGTGAGTGGATTAACAAAGATCTGTAAACTTTCCAGATGAGCTACAGTCATTTCAACACGGCCCAAGTTACACTTTTTTCTTTGGGTTTGATGCTGGAGTTGCTCGTTGTGTAGAAGGAAAAGGTTAAAGTGGATTGCAGTTCAAAATAAATAAATAAATAAATGTGTCCTTGTGTTTTTGCAGCTTCTGCAAAGAGGCCGAGGAGGAGGAGAGTTTTAACAAGGAGAACCTGCTGCTTTCTTTCAGCTATGACATGGCTGCCAAGAAGAGGAAAAAAGACTTAATGAACAACAACACAAAAGTCCCATGTGAGTCCTTATTAAAAAAAAAAAAGAAAGCAAAATATTTAGCCCGTTTTAAAGCGTGGGAGTCATAAATCACATAGCAATGCATCAAACTTAAGTTGGAGTAGGTAATACAAGCAGGAGAAAGCTGGAAGGGAAGGCATTGGTGGAGCACCTCCTAATGACACTGATGTTTAGTCATTCTCCTGCATTTCATAAACTCCCTTTCCAAAGGCAGCTCTGAAAACTTAGTTGTGCTGAATGCATTTGTCACAGTGCTTATAAGCCGCTTAATGAGGGCAGGCCACTAACGTAAACACTTTGCTTTCTCACAGATTTCCACAGGGAAAAATGGATTTATGTTCATAAAGGAAGCACCAAGGAGGTAACAAACCGACTCATTCCGCTTCACATCAACTTTTCATATCGTCATTGCTAATGTAAACATGCTGAGAAAACTATACTCCTGCTGAGGATTGCAATCTAATACCCTGATAATTAAATTCTCCCAGCGCCACGGATATTGTACACTGGGAGAGGCCTTCAACCGCTTAGATTTCTGCAGCGCCATCAAAGACACGAGGAGATTTAATTACGTTGTCAGAGTGAGTTCTCGTTTCTTTCCTTTCTTCTTAGTTTGTGCTGTCTCTTTCTGTTTGTCTTTCTCTGTGGTTGTTAATGGGAGATCTGTTTGTCAGTGGCACAGAAAGGCTTAAGGTTAAGAGGGTGTGTAGGCCTCTGCCAGCTTCTTATCATTGCTCTGCAGACAAGAGTCTCTCAGTGCTGATGATAGGGACCCAGGGAGTGTGTGTTTGAAGTAGGGACACAGTGTGGCTCTTTTTGTTTTGGAATATGATTGCCAAAGCATGTTGGTATCCCATAGGATTAAGCGAGGAACAGATGGATCATGTAGTGAGCTTAAATGACCAATTGGGAGATATTAGTGTCAGTAGCATTGTGGGATATGAGCAGAAAACCTGGAAGGCCATGCACGGGAAACTCTTTAATGAAAGTCATCCACACATGCACAGAGTTTGAACAGATTCAGCTTGGTGGGTATTCCTGACAAAGACGAACAAAAAAGTGATGCTCGCTTACCATCATCTAGTCAAATTTGGAGCTTCTTCCTCACTGAACTGAACACCAGCTCTCCCACATGTGCTCACATGTGAGGCGAAGGTGGGGGAGTGTGTATGCAAGAGGAGGGTGACAGCTGTGCAGTGAGGTGCGACCACCTGACAGTTGCTTTACGAAACCAAACCCGGTGGTAGTCAGATGATTCGGACCCCTCTGCAAACACAAACACCGATACCTCTGCCAGGTTAAACACCCTCCTTATGTGTTCTCCTCACTCATCCAGTGGTCCAGTGTCACATTTCTGTCTTTCTTTTTCCCTCTCTATGTTGAGTATCTGTGTGTCGTTCTTATATAAAGAAGCATTTAAATGAGTTGTAGCCTTCTTCAGGAGGACACAAGCGAACTTTCTCTTGGCAGAACAGTGAGGTTTCAGGGGATCGTATTTTATACAGTGTCAAACCCATAAATGGAGATTGGGCTCTAATCTTATCGGAATACAAAATAATCTGGTAGTCCAGATAAGTGTTAGATTTACTGCAGATATTTGGCTAACTCCTATTTGTTAACATCTCTGTTGGAGTTTGGGATTGACCTTTTAGTTCAGGTTCCAGTTAACGAGTGCAGTGTAGTGTGGTAAGCCCAAAGAACAATATGGCTGTGAAACACTAGCGCCTGGTCTGGACACAGTGTCCTAGGTCACTGCTCTTCACTGGTTGTGTCTGATGGCATTTGCGGGTTCATTTAACTCTGTCTCAGTTACACAGATCAGATTCTTCCATGACAAGGCAAGTGGTCCTCCATTTGTTTTTGTTTTTTTTCTTTCTTTTTTTTTCATCTCACAGCCAGTGAACGTAGGTTATGTCAAGGACGAGCCATGTGTAACTTTAAAATGAGCTTTAATGCAGAGATGGCACATAATAACAAAAGGCTGCGGCGTGTCTAATTCTGTCGGTGTGTTTGTGGAAAAAGTGTGAGCCGCACGCCAAAGTATAAAGCGCAGTTTAGTGAACTGCAGGAGCTAAAAGTAGATACGGAAACGCACATTGTTCTGCCCGGCTGCTCTACAAAGAGAGGAGCACTTGATGAGCTGCTAAAAGAAGAAGGGCACGGGATTAGGTTTTAGGAATGGAGCTGGGGAGGGGGGGAAGACAGTGAGGAAGGAGTGAAGAAGCTTAAAAATGGCAAAGCTGACAGGGAGCGTGAGGATGAAAAGGCTCAAAAAAGGTCATTTGGTTAAAAATGACGCATTATTAAGATGGCTGGTTGGCTGGTTCTTATTTTTCAGTATCCTAGTACCCCAGAAAGTACCCCGCAGTTTACCAGTACGCTGATATACAAACAAAGGTCATGACGTGGTCAAAATGAGCCAGAGTTTCTCCATGATGTCACAGCATCTGCTGCATGCCAGACATGCCACCCTGTTGGAACTCGCTGTTTGTCCGCTAGCCAACGGCAACAGACATACATACACACACACACGCGCGCTTACACAGTCACGCACACTCTGTCAAATGATTCGGCTAATTCACATGACAGGAAAACCAGGACTCAAACGATTAAAAGCTTGTTTGTGCCGGCATGGGGTGGCTGACCTTGTTGACAGCCTGGGCTCTTATCCAACACCTTTCCGAGTAGCTTCTTCCCCTAATAAAAGCCCTAGAATGCTGTTAGACGTCCACAGCTTCACTTGAGAGAAATGACCATATGGAACGTCTCCAAAGTTGTTCTAGGCAGCAATTATTGTTAGAACCAAGTGCTTTGTAAGAATGCAGCCTAACAATCTTTAAGAAACACTGCAGTGGAACAGAGCGTCTCACTTGCAGACAGGATGAAATTTATGTTGTTTCTTTTTTTCCCCCCCACCTCCCCATTCCTCCAGCTCCTGGAGCTTATTGCCAAGTCCCAGCTCCCCTCACTCAGTGGAGTGGCGCAGAAGAACTACATGAACATTCTGGAAAGAGTGGTACAGAAAGGTGAGCTCTGATGCCCTGCCTCTTCATTTCAGTCTTTTTGTGTTTCAGATGATTTTCTTTTCATGTCGTTTTGTTTCCCTGTGCTGTTCTTAAATATTTGCCCCTCAGTCTACTTAGTCTACTTTTGCTAAGCTCGTATATACAGTGTAGTGGACTCTTCTCGTCTTACTTTCTCAAAAGTGTAAACACAAATAATGCCGGTATAGCAAAGCTGAAGCTTTCGATATATGATGAAATGAACCTTTGTGATGTCTGAAGAAGGCTGGGGATGGAGTTCAGTGCTTTAGTGGCACGCTGAAAAACACTGACAGTCACCAGACCCGAGTGCAAGTCACAGTGTAAACTAAATGTTCCTTCTGCTAAACAGAGATTCAGGTTGTTTAGGTAGCGTTATGAAACTGTTTTGCCAAATATTTGAAGTTCTGCGGGGCCGTTCCATCACACCCAAATATTTAGTTTAATAGAGATTTTTATTTTTTTTTTTTAAAATAATTTTTATTTAACTTATTTTTTTTGAGGAGTCGCTGTCTACTTGGCTTGAAACTTCATTGTATCATTGTGGTCATTAATCTTGGCTGTTGACCAACTCTCCACAGTCCTCGATGACCAGCAGAACGTCCGCCCCATCAAAGAGCTGCTGCAGACCCTATATGTCTCGCTGTGTGGGCTCGTTCAGGACATGGGCAAGTCTGTGCTGGTGGGGAACATCAACATCTGGGTACACCGAATGGAGAACATCCTGCAGTGGCAGCAACAGCTGGACAACATCCAGATCAATAGGGTAAGCATCTGCCTACAATGCAGAACTCCAGAGGGGCTCTGAAGTGCAAATCTTTATTACATCATAGATTTTCTTCTTTTCTCTCATCTCTTTTTTTTTTTTTTTTTTTTTTTTTTTGACTACCGAGAGAAACACCAGTATGCTACACGACGCTCTGACAGACGGGTTGGGTGGGGGGTGCCGGATTAAAGAGGACAGAGAAAAGCTGAGAGACG